CGTCGTTGAGGGCCGAACCGGGGACTTTTCATCTCCTCCCCTCTAGCTCCTTCCCTGCTCCACAGCCTGGCCCTGCGAGTGCTCCGTCCCCCCCAGCTCTGACTGTCCCTTGGTTCGTGGCACCAGGGCTGGCCATTACACCCCACACGCTCTTGCATTTCAGTCCTTTTGCGGCTCCTGCCCCGTGGCCTGCCTGGGATCCTCACTCTGCCTCAGTGCTCTGCTGGGCTGGAGATTATGCATTCAGCCAGCATGGCTCACCGGCACCCCCATCCACAAACTGCTCTCAGGAACGTGGCACCTGCACACAGGTCTGTGTGGCTTCTCCACCACAGCCCAGAAACCCTGTGAAGCAGGTGGCACCATTGCCATCTGAGAGTGAAGCACAGACCTGCTTGTTGCTTTTCTCTGCTCTCAGCGTGCAGTCGGGGTCACTGACCCGTGGTCTATGACACCTTATCTCCTTCCCCTACCTCCAAATGAGAGAGGCCTCATGCTTACCTCCAGGCATTCGTCTCCTGTGCGTACAGGCCTGGTGAGTGCCCCCTGCCCCGTGCAGGGAGGAGCGGGCAAATTCCTTCCAGGTGCCCTTGAGAGTCCTGGGCCCCCACAGTGGCTTTGCGAGCCCCAGTGTGTCACTTCTGAAATCGTTTTGCTGAAGAAGCATGTGTGCTTGCAAGTCAAGAGGCAAGGGAGAGAGTGGCCGAGGTTTCCTGGTGGGCCAAGTGTGGGGCGTCTGCTGCGACCTGAGTGAGCCGCCCGGTGATGGTGCGTTTGACCGAGCTGTGGTGTCTGCACCACCCACATCACACAGGTCAGGCTTCTTTGGTTTGTAGAGATAAACACATGGATAGCCTTTCCAGAGGCTGGGGAGGAAAAGAGGACACTGTGCAGTTTCACAGAGTCTTGGTCCATTGCAGCTCCTGTAACAAAATACCTTGGACTGGAGGGCCAGGCACGGTGGCTCACGCCTGTTATCCCAGCACTTTGGGAGGCTGAGGTGGGTGGATCACCTGAGACCTGAGTTCCAAGACCAGCCTAGGCAATATGGAGAAACCTCATCTCAAAAACAAAACAAAACAAACAAACAAAAAGTACAGAACACCTTTGACTGGGTAATTTATAAGTAATAGAAATGTATTTCTCACTGTTTCAGAGGCTGGGAAATCCAAGGTCAAGGTGCCAGCACATTCTACGTCTGGTGGCAGCTGCTCTTGCCACATCCTTCATCTTGGATGAAGGGACAGACAAGCTCCCTCCAGCCCTTTTATAAAAGGGAACTCATCCCATTTATGAGGCGGGCCCTCATGACCACTTCACTTCCTAATGCTATCACAGCGGGGGTTAAGTTCACTTTACTTCCTAATGCTGTCACAGGGGGGGTTAAGTTCACTTTACTTCCTAATGCTGTCACAGCGGGGGTTAAGTTCCAGCATGAATTTGGGGGGTACCGGACACTCAGACCGTAGCTTTATATACCCCGCCTCCTACTGTCAGCCTGGGGACCAGGTGGCCACAAAGCATCCTCCCTGCTTCCCTGGAGCCTGTGGCCCACTCCAAGTTGGCCAAGAGCAGAGGTGAGGGCCCAAGAAACCACCATGCCCAGAGGGGCCTCTGCCTCCCTCGCTTTTTACAGGATTGCATGCAGGATTGAGCCCACTGACCTCAGGGGTCCCAGAAGCAGGTGGGGACAAAGCCAGGAGCACACAGGCCTCCTTTGGAGATGGTTGGGCTAGAGGTGGTGTGAGGACCTGCTTCTAAGTGACAAACCCAAGGTCAAAAAGCCAGGAGGCACCCTGTCTGTGGTGGCCCTGCGCTGCAGGGCGGCCTCGCCCCTGCTCTTTGAGGGATCGCCCAGGTTCTGGGCTTGACCAGGGGTCCTTGTAAAGGAGGAGAGATAGAGCCTGTGCCCTGTCCCTTCATGGTTTTACAGGGATGTTTTAAACATTTTAGTTATAAAACATTTCAAATGTAAATTGTAAAAAGTAACTAAAACAGACACCTAGGCACCCACTTTTGAAATCAGATAGCAACATTGTGATTTTAAAGAAAGGAAGCATTTCAAATCCAGCCAGAGAAAAGAAATATCTCCCGGATCCTTCCGGGAGCCCGAGGCAGTGGGGACCCGGTGCGGACCACAGCAAGGATGTTGTGGGGCAGTCTCTGGCTGCAAAAGCCCTGTGGTGCCAGTTCATGAGTCTCACTCAACCCCGAGGAGCTGGCGGGCAGAGACTGCACCTGCATTTTAGGGATGGGCAGGGGTTACCATGTTCAGACCCTGGGCTGTGTGCGCGCGCACAGCAGTGCATCAGCCCTTGTGGCCTCCTTCTTAGCGGGAAGTCCTTGTTTCTCATGTTGCACATGGGAGAGTGGAAGCTTGGAGAAGACGAGTAATTTGGCCACGTCTCATAGCTGCTGAGGGGTGGAGGCAGGATTTGAACCCAAGACTGTGCATTTGTGAGCCCCGTGCCTGTGAGCACCACAGCGTGTGCAGGGCTGTCACCAGGCGGGTGGCGCGTCCCCCGACACTCTTGCTTGGGAGGAGGATCTCGGAGGATCTGCTGCTCTGGAGCCTGCCAGGCCCTGTGCGGCCTCCTCCCACGCCTGCTGGGCTCCCTTGGAACCTGGGGAGCTGGAGGCCCGCATCTGTGTCCTCAGCAGTGGAGCCCCAGGCCGGTGCCCTCTCCTGCTTCTGCTTGGTTGGATCTCATCACCGGGAAACTCCTCAGAGCCACCGCGGCTGCGAGGAGCCCTCAGTATCATCCTGCCTTCCCCCTTGGCTCAGGCCTCCCTCGGCCACCTCGCTCTCCCTGTCCTGTTAGGAAACCAGCTAGGGGGAACAGCAAGGCCTCTACAGGCTGAGGACCCTGGGGCTGGGAGCGCCCCCTCGGCCTGTGTGGCTCTGGCTCATGCTCGGCAGGGTGCTTCTGGGAGGGCTAAACACAGTGCTCACAGGCCCGGTGTGGTGAGGGCCGGCTGCCAGAGAGCAGGAGGGGCTTCCCTTTGTCCTCTCCCACCCTGGACACCCAGCGAACCTCCCTGGTGCAGGGGCTGAGCAGCACAGAGGTGTGGGGCTGCAAAGCTCTCCAGTCCTTGGGGGTCTCTGTCTGAAACGTTCCACCCTTGCCCACTCCCCTCATTAGAGTCCGAGAGGCTCTGTGACTGACTGGGACTCAAGGACAGGGAGCCTGGCTGGCCCTGGAGCCGGCCATGTGGTGGGGAGATGGCCAGGAAATGCTGCTCTGGCGGTGGTCAGCCTGGCCTCCAGGATGCAGACACGGCGCGGGCCGGGGGTGGTGCGAAGAGGGGTCCTGGGCTTCCACTTGCCCGTGAAGGAAAAGGGAGGATCACGGTACAAGGACTTTCTGGGCAAGGAGGACTTGTAGGAACCCTGGGAGGAAGGCACGTGCCCAGGTGTCCTGGGGCAGCAGTGTGGACACAGGTGTGTGGCGTGGAAGCCAGAAGGGAGGGCAGGGAAGCCGGGTCCTGCAGAGCCTCCGGGCACCAGGCGGGGAGGGGTGGTCTTTCTCAGGAAGCGGAGGGGCTGTCGAAGACTGTGAGCGGCTGACTGTGTGCCCGGCAGGCTCAAGAAGGTCCATTTGTCCTTCCTGCTGGTGCCCACGTTACTGGCAGGAACTGTGCTCCTGGGTGGTGCAGACGGCTGAGGTCTGAGTGCAGGAATGTTCTGGAACCCTGCCAAAGCTGACATGGGCAGGTGCGCAGTCACACACATCCCTGTCCTTGGGGAGGGGACCATCCAGTTAGGGAGGCTGCCTGGGCTGGGGCCCACCATAACCCCAGCAGGGCTTCAGCGCAGGGCCTGAGGGAGGGCAGGCCACTGTCCACAGGAAGCACCCACAGCCTCTGCCTCCCAGAGGCCACGCTGTGCTCCTTGTGGTTCCACTGCCCTCTCTGGCCACAGTGATTGGCCCAAGGCCAGTTAACTCCTTTGACCTGGGCTGTGGCCTGGGTCATGGAAGCCCTTTCCTCCGCGATTTGAACAGGGAGATAATATGGGGAACCGACAGCGGAAAGTGACCCAGAGCGTGGTTGTGAGGGGAAAGTTAGGAGGGACATGTTCGGGATGCTAGTGGCCAGCGTGGACTGCCTGCCTGCCAGTGGGCCCACTGCCTGCTGACCACAAGGGAAGTGCACTGCGTGCCTGACCTGCTTCTGACTCCTGGTTCCTGGGCCCCAGCAGTGGTGGCAGGTGGCCTCTCTGGGGCATGAAGCCTGCGCCTGTCTCCTGTGCCATCGCGCCAGGTCACTGCAGCTGTGGAGCCTGCCTCTCCGCCCTTGCCTTCTCGTCTGTGACTCTGCTGACCAGGTGCTGGCTGGGAATGCTCTTGGCTGGGTGGTGTTTAGTCTAGGGAAATTTACAGAATTATTTTAATAGTTTCTGCACTTCCCTGGGGCTGCTACTCCTGTACATCTTGGCAAGGGCCTCTTCCCTTGTCTCCTGGGTCCTCTTCTCGCTGTGAGCCCCATGAGTAGGGGGAGCAGTGACCCCGTGACAGCCCCCAGCTGTCAGCTCCAGTCCTGGCAGCAGTCTCCCTCACACCCTCGCGCAGGGCTTTCTCTGTCCTGTCTGTCCGTCTGAAGCATGTGAAAGCCCTTCTCTGGAAGCCCTTTCCTCAGCCAGCAAGAGCAAGCAGTTAAGTGCCTGTACCCCACACACCCCCTGGAGGAAGGGGCTGGCCACATCCTAATCCTCAGGGGAAGCAGCTGAGGGCCAGAGAGCCAGGGACTGGCTCAGGGCACTGTGGGGCTGAGCGGCCAGGCCTGTCGGAGCACTGGCTGTCCCATGGGGCAGGAGGAGCCGCCTGCTTTTGGGTGCTGAAGCGGGCAGTCTGGTGGGGCCTGTGGCGGGGCCATTCCAGGCTCACCCACGGTTTCACCATTGAGACCTGCACACACCCCTTCCCCCCCTTATAGAGGGAGAAATCTGGGGTACTTCAGCAGTTGCCCCAGCTGTCAACCCTCCCTGCTCCTCCTCGCAGCTGGTGAACCGACTCGTGTACTCTGGCAGCGCGGACAGGACCGTCAAGTGCTGGCTGGCAGACACCGGGGAGTGTGTGCGCACGTTCACGGCCCACAGACGCAACGTGAGCGCCCTCAAGTACCACGCGGGCACCTGTAAGTGACTTGGCCCGGCATGACCCGCGCCACCCCAGCCTGGCTTCTCCTCCCTGCTTCTTTACTTCCTATGCAATTTTCCCTCATTGAGCCTTGGCTGCCAATCATCAATGTCCAATGGCAGTGCCCCGTCCTTCTCCACACAGCCATGCCTGCAGCTGGTTTGCAGAGAAGGTCCAAATAAGGGTTTGGTGGTTCCTCCCCACCTTTCTCCAGGACAGCCTGGGAGACTGGACTGCTGGGAGGGTCTCAGCTCAAAAGCACGTCCCAAAAGGTACATCTTAATTTTCCAAGTGAGACAGTGGGTACCCCTTAATCCAGCCACCTCGAGGACCACATGGGTTTGGCCTCACTTGGCCTTAGGATTTGTATGCAGGGAAGAGAAAATCTAGGTAGCTGTGGTTCCAATGAGGTAGTGGTTTATTTTCTCTCAGGTAGAAGAATTTCAGAGGCTGATGGTCTAGGCTGGAATGAGTGGCTCCACAAAGTAATCAGGCACCCAACTTTCTTCTGTCACTCTGCTTCGTCATCCTTAGCACAGACCTTCTGTCTTTAAAGAAGCCTCATGATTCAAGATAGCTGCTACAGTGTCTGCCATCGTGTCATGTTTTAGGCAGGAAGGGAGAGAGGATGGAAGGGTGAAAGGACGCGTCTTCTAGAGAGGATGGAAGGGCGAAAGGATGTGTCTTCTAGCTGAGTTGGTCCCTTTAAGATCTTTCCTGGAAGCTTCATCCAAGGGCTTCCACATACCTCTCTGTCACCGTTCTGTCTGCAAGAGATAGTGAATCATAAAGTCTTTTATTTGAGGAATTTGATGCCAAGATGGAATCAGGGTTATTTTGGAAAGAAAGAAAGGCAAAATGGCTTGTTGGACAGGCAATGAGCTGTCTGTCCTACAGGTCTCAAATTGTCACACACCCGGGCCATTTGGCTCTGCCACTGGGAGGGAGGAGACGGGGTGGGGGAAGAGTCACAGTGGAATATTCAAGTTGACCTCACAGCAAAGGTGTTGGAGGAAGATAGAATGCAGATATCTGAAAATAGATCCTGACATGCCCTCAGGATTCAGGTGTCTGACACGGAAAAATTATTTTTCGTTTGTTCCTGTGTCCAAGCTTGGAAGTGTGGTTACAGCTCTACTCCCAAGTCTGGGTCCTCTAATTGAACACGAGGAAGGTTCTACTTTCGAAGGTTCTACTTTCAAAAGCTCTGGCGGGTGGCCGCGTAGAACACCTCCCCATGCAGCTGGGGCATGGAGGCTGCAGGGAAAGCGGAGCCTGCAGCCCACTGTTGCCCATCTCGGTTCTTGGTCTTGGCCAGCAAGGCTATGGGATGACCAGACTTTGTTTTTGATCCTCTTCCCACCCACGGGGAGCTCAGCAGCCACACTGGGTTTTCCAGGCCATGTCCATTTGTCTCTGAGTTTGTGGGGGAAAGGCAGAAAGGGGCTAGAAAGAGACCCAGAGATGAAACTTCTCCTCTGGGGCCATTCACTCTATAGTTTTTTAAAGAAAGGCTGGAACAGGCTGGGCACCGTGGCTCATGCTTGATCCCAGCACTTTGGGAAGCCAAGGTGGGAGGATCGCTTGAACTCAGTAGTTCGAGACCAGCCTGAGCAACATAGCAAGACCCTGTCTCTATAAACTGTTTTTTTTTTTTTTTTGAGACCGAGTCTTGCTCTGTTGCCCAGGCTGGAGTGCAGTGGTGCAGTCTAGGCTCACTGCAACCTCTACTTCCCAGGTTCAAGTGATTCTCCTGCCTCAGCCTCCCGAGTAACTGGGACTACAGGTGTGTGCCAACCACACCCAGCTAATTTTTGTATTTTTAGTATAGACGGGGTTTCACTGTGTTGGCCAGGCTAGTCTGAAACCTGATCTTGTGATCTGCTCCGCCAGCTTCAGCCTCCCAAAGTGCTGAGATTACAGGCGTGAGCCACTGTGCCCAGCCCCCCATTTTTTTTTTTAATTAGCTGGGTGTAGTGGTGCATGTCTGTGGTCCCAGCTGTTCAGGAGGCTGAAGCGGGAGGATCATTTGAGCCCAGGAGTTCAAGGTTAACAGTGAGCTATGATCGCACCACTACACTCCAGCCTGGGCAACAGAGTGAGATCCTGTCTCCCTGTCTCAAAAAAAAAAAAAAAAAAAGAAGGCTGGGGAACAAGTACCCACAGAGCACCCTCAGATAGGTAGCCCAGCACCCTTACCCCCAGGTGGTCCTGCCCCTTCTCCCCAAGGTCCCAGGCAGGCTTGCGCCCTAGCTGCCCACCGTAGTTACCTGCTCATTGACAGACCAGGACTTCCTCCCTCCCTCTCCACCTCCCATTTCCCTGTGAGCGCTTCCTGGGACGCCTGCCAGGTGTACTGTCTGCCTCAAGTCGTAGCAACAGGGTCGGCTTCAGAGAGCCCAGCCTAGGCCAAGTGAATTCTTCTAGTCCACATCCTCAGTGTGGCTTCCTGACTAGCAGCAGCTTGTCACTTAAAACTGGCTAGAAATGCAGATTCTCAGGCCCCGTCTGCTAAAACAGATTCTGGGATGCGGCCGCATGCTCTGTGGCTAAGCCTCCAGGTGACAGATGCAGGCTGCTGTTGGAAAACGATTGGACTAAGTTCTTAGGAAAAAACCCCAGGGAGAGACAGCCACCTGGGGGAGGAGACAGACTGAGGGCGGAGGCTTGCCCCCGCTAGGGGTCCTGGGGGTGCGTGATCATAAATCCCAGAGGACTGGGCTTTGATTTGGGGGCCGATCCATTAATGAGGATGGGAGGATAAGGCTGTGACGCAGCGGAAGGTGGGGGGAGGCGACTTGAGGACCTTACGGTTATCCCCAGGCAGGGTCCTCCCAACCAGGCACGGGAACCAACTTCACCAAACCGCGGAGTGGGGACTGGGCCCGGGCGGTGTTCAGCAGGGGCAGGGCCAGCTGGCGCGCAGGCATCTGCAGGGTGGAGCCCAGTAACTGTGGGGATCCCTGTTTCTCTGGAGGGGCGCTGTCCACTTCCCATATGAGCCTCAGAATACCCCCGTGGGGCAGAGTCCCGGAGATGCCCCAGGTCACGCTCTCGCCGCCCTAGGTCATGCTCTCGCTGCTCCATCCCTGCCTGCGGGGGGCCGGGCAGGGAGGGAGGGAAGGAGGGAGGCCCAGCGCGCCCTGTGTGTCCGCAGTGTTCACGGGCAGCGGGGACGCTTGCGCCCGGGCCTTCGACGCGCAGTCTGGAGAGCTGCGGAGGGTGTTCCGGGGCCACACATTCATCATCAACTGCATCCAGGTAGGTCCCTCCGCCTTGCTCAGGGCCGCTGCCCGTGGGAGGGAAGGTGCCCTGCCCAGATCCATCCACGCCGGCGGCCGCGTCCCCCCGCCTACCGCCTCGCCAGTGACACCCGCCCCTGCGCCCACAGGTGCACGGCCAGGTGCTCTACACCGCCTCGCACGACGGCGCCCTGCGCCTCTGGGACGTGCGCGGGCTCCGAGGTGCCCCGCGGCCCCCTCCGCCCACGCGCAGCCTCTCACGCCTCTTCAGCAACAAGGTGGGCTGCGCCGCCACGCCCCTGCAGCCGGCCTGACCCCGCGGGGGCCCTGCCGACGCCAGCCCAGACGCCCATCGGCTCCCAGAGCGCCCTGCCCTGCTCCCCGCGGCTGTGGCGCCCGATGGCCGGGGAGGAGCGAGGAAGCCCGGGCGGGAGGAGAGCCCGGCGCAGGCGTCTGGTTTTTCTTTGGTGGCCAGGAGGCGCTGGGAGCGGGAGTGCTCGCCCTCGGGACCTTCCTCTTTGCCCTTTTAGGGTGACTCCTGCCCTCCCTCCCCCATCCCTGACCTGGCGAAAGGCCTAGTCTCAGGGACCCTCCCACCTCAGGGGCTGCAGGCGGACTGCCCCAGCTCCCCCAGCCCCAGGACACAGGGCCTTTCCTGCTGAGAGGAAGTGACTTTACAGAAGCCACTGAATCTGGTTATTTTGGCAAATTGTCTGTCTCGAGGGCCTTGGGGGGAACTAAAATACACAGCCTGAAAGTTCAAAGTACTCCTGTGTCCTCTTTTTGTTTTGCAAACTGAGTCTTAGCTTCCTTTCGGATCTTGAGATTCCAGGAACCCAGGGCGGCGGGCCTCCTGCCCTCTGCCTCTCACACCGGCCTGGGCAGCTTTGGGGGTGACTTGTGGAGATGCGGGGCTGCCGCCAGTGTCACTGGTGCAGGGAGTGGACTTGGAAGAGGCCAGGGAGCAAGGGAGCGGCTCTTTAGCCTGTGCAGGTGACAGCGGGGACCCCGCTTGGGAGCTCTCATCATTTTCTGGCATGAATCTGGGAAGTTCCTTCAGGGCCTGGAGTGGGGGGAGGGGGAAGGGACGGGCAGCAGCCCCATCCCCGGGCTCGTGCACAGGAGTCAGGGCAGTGCCTGATGCTGGGAGGTGCAACACACACGCCAGAGCCACCGAGCACCTAAGGGGAGCCCTGTGCGCAGGGGCTCAAGGGGCCAGTGGGGCTCAGTCTGCCGGGAGGCCCTGCAGGAGGCCCCTCAGCACCCTTCACAGCACCTGGAGGGGGCGCTCTTCAGCCCTTTGGTGGTGCCGCTTTCTGCATCCATGTGCCCCGGTTGGCCCAGGTGCCAGGAGAGAAGCTGCAGGTGACAGTGTCTGCCGTGAAGAGCTCATCATCTCGCTGCAGAGAGAAGCATCTGCTGCAGGAGCAGCCCCTTCAAGTGGAGCAGCCCTTTCAGGTAGAGCAGCGTGCACTTCGTAGTGTTAATGCAGAAAATACTTCATCAGAGAGGGCCAGGGCCGCCAGGGCTCACCTGCCAGGCCTGATGGACGGGTCCACCCTCGCCCGGATGAACAGGTAGGGATTGCACTGTGGGCAGTAGGAAGGAAGGGACGCAGGCGCTGTAACTCCTCTAGGCCAAACCTCCAAACCCTGGGAACCAAAGCGACCCCGACCCCCACCCCAGGAAAAAGGGCTGGTTGGGAGGCAAGCAGATCGGTGCAGGAGAAGCCGCAGAAACGGCACCACGCACTGTTCTCTGGGTGAGACTTAAGCACACACAGACCTGGGGTCTTGTGCTAGGTCTTGTGCCAGGTCTTGCTGCGACCCGGAACCACTGGGGCCTGTGGCTGCCGCAAGGGGCGTGTCTACCAGAGAGGAGCTTTCCATCGTGCTGAAGGGACGGTTCCGGAGGTGCAGGCCAGAGAACCGCCTTGAGTGCTGCCTGCGGGCAGTGCTGCCGGCCGGCCCTGAGCCTGTGCAGACGCTGGCACTGACTCCTGCCTGCCGAAGACACTGTTGCTTGGTGATGCTGCACTCTGGCCTGAGCAGCCCCTCACTGATATGTCAGCTCCAGTCCCCACCTTATCCAACCACATCAGAGAATGGAGCACGCATCAAGCCATCCAGAGAAACCAAATGGGGTGCGGACCCAAATCACGGGCGCTGCACTCACTCAGCATTTTTATAGCAACACACATTGGGGTAATTTCTACTTCCACCGCACAGAGAGCTTTGCGAGATGCTGAGGACATAAAGACAGCCAGATGTCCATTCTCTCTCTGGTTTCTGAGAGCCAGAGAGACATGGTGAGTGAGAGACTCTGATCACCTGAACCCAGGCCTGGTCCCCTTCCAGCCACACCACTGTCGCCTTGCTATGAACGAAGAAACGAGGTGTCTGCTTTTGATAAATTGATTGAGTTGGCTAAGAGAGGAAGGACAGGAGCTACCCATAGGACATATGGACAGGGACACAGTAGGGCAGTGATCAGCATCAAGGACACCTAACCAGTTGTGCACACCATCATGCTGGCATGGGCTGCCCTCACCTGCCTGCCACACGCCCCTGCCTGCTCCTGCTCCTCTAGTGGCATCCAGCCTCCCCACTGTGTTCAGCAATCATATCATCCGCCGCCATTCTTCTCCCCACAACTCACACCTTCTGGCAGCCATGAACATGTCACACTCAGACTGTCCTGCCGCAAATACTATCTCATTTGTCCCACATCTAGACTGTTCTTTGTCCCACAGCTAGAATGTTATTTTTCCTTTGACTTCCCAAGGAGAACCCTCCCAGGCCCCCTCCTCTGCAACAGTCTCTCCTTCTCCAGCCTCAGCACCCTCCTGCCCCCTCCGCCACCACCTGTCCAGTTCCACAGGGTCAGCTGTAGGTACAGCAGGCCTGGTCCGAGTCTCCCTGCCTGCAGGGCAGCCCGTCCTGGATATAGCGCATGCCCAGAACTGCGCCCACAACCGGCTTCCTGTGCAGCTCGCTCTTCACAAGACAGGGAAGAGTTTTGGGGCCTGCTGGTGTGTCACTGCTTCTATGATGGCTAAAAACAGCTGGGAAGCTAGAAGACACGCCTGAACCAAGCTCAGGACAGTGACTTGCTAGCAAAACGCTTCAATTCAGGCCCCAAATCCAAGTGTGGCATTGTGTCAAATGAGGCTGAGACTTCACGTCACCTCAGCTCACCAGGCACTTCTGAGGCAAACCCTGATAGGTGCATTTCAGTCCCCTGCCCAGGATCCACCCCAGCCCCACTTGGCATGTGGCATCTTTCACAGCAGGTGCCCTGTGTTGCTTCTGAGGTCATCCTTCCATCTCCTCACAAAACTCACTGGAAACATCTTGCAATCACGATGAAGCACTAGTCACCCAGACGCTTTCCACACCTGCAGCTGGGGAGGCTGAGTCAATTACTGTAAAGTCTGGGTGACAATTTTTGAATATATTTTCCACCTTTTATTTCCATCAGTATCATCCATTTAAGAAGAATGACAAGAAGTTTCCCATCAGTCCAAACTGGACCACTCACGCTTTATGAAAAGGTTAGAGCATTTCAGCCAGTCCCACATGGCCCATCCGTCTTCAGTCAGTGCCTTCTGGAAGGGAGGAAAAGTCTTGGATGCACCTGGAACTCAATCCACTCGGCATCTGGCTGCTGCTGCAGTCCTGGGGCTGGAAGGAGCCGCCACTGGGTGCACATCTACAGAGGAGTACGTGGCGCAGTGAGGACGGTTACTGCTGGAGCCGACACACAGCGAACTGCATACTTTTAGAAAGAGCCTCTGTCACGTGGATAGAACAACAAAAAACCCCCACAAAAACCTGGAGAAAATATATCTAAGCCTCTGATAGATCTCTTAGCTAGCAGTGAGTTCAGTATGACAGCACAGCGTCTACAAATATTAATTAAAAATAAATTGCTTTGGTTAGCATTTAAACCTTTCCCATTCAGTAAAAGATTTCTGTAATGAGGAATGCTGAACATATATAAAGTCTGACACTCAATCTTGAATTTCCGGGGCGTGTTTTACTGAACTAAGAGCATAAAACACTTGGCGCCCCAGGCTGAAGGCATCTGCTGAGACCTGGTGTGGCCCCCAAGGCCAGCGCCTCATCACTATGCCCCACAGCACTTGGAAGGAAGACTTAAAGGATGATTTGAGGGGTGGGGGAAGGGTGGCACAGGAACCCATGGGGCACCCTGGCAGAGATGGCAGCGTGGGAAGCAGGAAGGCCATGGGCAGTGGGTGCATGAGGCAGGCAAGCCGGGCAGATGGAGCCACAGCTGGAGAGGAAGTGGTCGGGATGCCCTTCCCGGGACCCTGCCCCGGACACCTTCCCCAGGATCCCTGTTCTGCGGGACCTCTGTTCCTTCCCATTTCAGGGTAGAACACCAAGCTAGGGAAGGGGTTAGGGACGCAGACCCGGGAGGCAGATGGAATGACCTATACCAGGCCAGAGGAAGCTTCTTCCCCGAGACCACGCATGAAGGCCCTGGGACCCCTCCTGGCCTTGTCCCCTGCCCGCCCCCTCCTACACCCAAAGAGGAACTTGCAATTCAGATAAAAAGTAAGAACAGAAAGAGCTGCATTCGCCTTTTCATAATGATAGCATTTATAAGCAGAAAATTAGCACTATTTCTGTTCATTATTTAGTTTTTCTTTGTTGCTGACTTCATATTTTCTACATAGGATAGGTACTCTGCAATAATCATTTCTTCGTCTTCCAGAGTTGAGTCAAGATAGTCTTCCTCATGCTCCGGAATGTCTTCCAGTATCTCATTGACGGCCTCTGTCTCCATGTCTTCGTCTGTTGAGGCACTAGAGGTTCCTACAATAAAATACCGCGGGAGTAAGTGAATTATGTGAGGATTGTCCTGGGGACACTGCACAACCACAGTCAACCTCAGACTGTGCCTCCTGCTGGCCACACTGTCCAGGCGGCCAGCCCAGCGACGTCAGGGGACGCCCCTCTCAGTCTCCATGTCTGCCGTGGCCTAGGGCACCAGCCCCATCTGTTGGCTTCTGAAGACCCTTTGCTGTCAACGTGGCCCTCAGAGACCTCAGACCTACCTGCAGAGTCAGAAGGGGATGTGGCTGGCGGGGACAAAGAGTCTTCCGGCGACAGCGGCAGGTCGGGAGGCAGGCTTCCTCCGTTGTGAGCAAGGGTCTGGGCAGCCAGCTGGACGTTGCCTCTGAACACTCTCAGCGCAGCTTCGGCCACAAGTGCATCAAAACCCATGTACACCAACTAGGGGAGAGGGCAGGGTCACAGCCTCGGCCACCCCCATCACCCATAACGAGCAGACAGCCGGCTCTCATATTTAAGAGCTCCTGGCATGCACACCATGGCCCTTTCGGCACAAGTCATGCTTCTGTGCAACGGGAGCGTGGAGCAACCTGGAAGGGGGGCTTGGAAGACTCGAGTCGGGTGCGTCAGTAAGCAGCCATCTCGGGACAGGAAGTGACCTCGGGCTGAGAGCAAGGCGCCACGCCAGTCTCACCACGAGCACGGTGAGGTCAGTGGCCACAGCATACAGGCATGCTAATACATGTGGGGGGACAAATGTGGACAGAGTTGTCACTTGGGACACAAAGCTGGATGGGTTTCACAGGTCACAGTGACATCCTTTTAGGTCACAGGCAGATAAATGGGACTGATGTAAACAGCGGTGCATCGGAAAAGGAGGCAAACCTAAAGAGAACTTCCTGACACTTCCCCAGATTTCCTGCTTTCCAAGGAGGCCTCCCCTGCCCTCGGTTGCTGCGTGGGTGGCCTCTGAGGTGGCAGGTTACACCTGGAGCCTGGGAGCCAAGATTTCAGCACGGACTCCCCCAGTCCTGCGGCCTGATTCACCCGCGTTACCCCAAGCAACCCCACCCAAGGCTGTCCAAGCTGAGGGCACAAAGACGTGTCACTCACTTGGTCAATGTTTTCCTGGGAAGGACTTTCTTGACGGTTGTCGGTTTCAGGATTGGAATCATTTAACCACCACATCTGAGGATTGCTGAGCAGAATCTAAAACACACAGGAACACGCTTTACCCACCACTAAGCTCTTCACACATTCAGACAGGCACCGCACCCTGCCGTGTGCTCAGCAGACCCAGCCGTCCTCTGCTGCTATGAGGCAGGGAAAGGGGCTCCCGCCCAGGCTGATGTGCCCAGAAGGCTTCCAGCCAGAGACCGGGACAGTTGGGGTTTGAAGGAGGAGCAAGACTAGTCAGGGGAAAGATCCCTTCTGACAGAGCAGGAAGGGACGAGAGCAGGCGGAAGCGCATCCAAGCAAACAGGTTTCGTCAGAGCCACAGACAGAAAGGTCTCTTAAGCAGCTTAGGGCTGCCTGATTGATCTTTGAAAGTGTCATGCCCTCTAGACTTAAAATATCAGGCAGGTAGTAGAGTTATTTTGACCCTTGGTTTCTTCGTCACACAATACTTAAAAGACTCTGTGGAGACTTTCCTTTCCAACACTCAATACTTCTGTGTTGACTGGAGGTATTTATGTGCTACTCATATAATTCCAATCTACTTCGAGACCCATCAGTCCCTTCGGATGTTCAGAATTTCCCACCTCTTAATATTTCTCCAACACAAAAAAATCAAAGTAGATATTAAATACAATTTTAAAATTTAACGTATACATTAAATATACATATACATCGTAACAGAAGTAATGACTTGTGGAGCCTTCCAGGGAACAGGGCAGGGATAAGAGACAAAGGCAGGGTGGACCCCCCGTGCCTGCTGCACCCACACCCGCCTCAGCAGGGCAAACGAGTACACCTGCCCTGCCCTCCACCTGCCTCCACCCCCATCTAGCCCCCAGCATGCACACAACCTAAGCTAGCTCCTGCCTGCCATGCTGCCCCAGCATCTGCCTGGACTGCTGCCTCCACGCAGCCAGCCCCCTGCCTCCCGTGCACCCCTGGGGACTCCCTACCACACGTGCTCTGAGTTTGTCTCTCACTGAGCTGCGGGGCTGAGGGCAGAGGGCGCTTCCATACCAAGCTGCCGAGACGCAGCACAGCACCTGCCCTACTGAGGATTCCATCTGCTTCTCCAACACAGGGAAGGAAGCGGCCCAGGTAAAGTCACTACTGTCTGGATCCCAACCTGCTGTCACTCCTGAGGGGTTCTTTGAGAAGCTTCCCCTTTGCCAACATGTACTATGGACTAAATAAATAAAACTAGATACTTACAGTTAAAATTTTAATGCCAAACAATTATACTGCAAGTTGAATTACCATTCTCTTTTTCTGCTGTGGAAATGGCCTGTTTACACTACACTCTGCTGCACACACAAACCCTACATCAAGTCCTGGCCTGTGGACTCCGCTGGTGTGGACAGGCACCGTGTTCTGGAGCCAGGCCTGGGCCAGGCACTGAGCATGGGGCCTCATGGGGCCTCACATGGCCTCTGTTGGGGCTGGAGCCCAGGAAAAAGCTGCCCTTCAGATCTGATGACGGGGCAGCCCATAGGAGTGAGCCTGGGAGGACGCCCGAGAGCCATGGAGGGAGCTCTGGGCAGGACCCACTGCTCAAGGACAAGGCCAGAGGCCCCGAGGGAGCGGCTACCTTCAGGGCCTCGTCCAGGTTCCCGCTGGCTGCGTGGAGCGCCTGCTGGGCTGCGTGCGTGGAGTAGCCCATCCCTTTCAGAGACCTGATGTTCTCGAGGCGGCGTCTTTTCTTCTCTTTTTCCTCCTTCCTTATTTGGGCCAATTCCTTTAGGAAAACAGCAAAGTCCCATCCCAAGTTAGGGACTGAGATTTCACAGCATCTCAGTCTACACTCTGCAGGATTCTCGGGGTTTCCAGGCAAAGCCAAAAAACCAAAGCAAAGCACAGCAGGACCTCTGTCTACCTCTTTTCACCCAGCCAAATGGCAGAGGTGCCACAGAGGCAGAGGGGTGGTGGAAGTGCTGCTTCTGAGGGCAGGCAGTGGAAGTGAGACGCCCGTGGGGCAGGAAGGAGGTGCCTCATGAGCCCTGCCATCCGGCATCAGGATGGGCCACTCGCCCAGCCCAGCGTGCTCCCACTGCAGAGGTCGCAGGCGTGAGGTGCATGGATTCTCTTCTAGCAACTGGGCAGAGAGCTTTCTGCATGTGGTGGGAAGGCCTTCCAGCCTTTGATGAATCGCCCAGGGACTCAAGTTCCAATGTGATGTGGAGTCAGGGGGCTCCTGGGCAATGCCATGGTTGATGACCCACCCACCACAGCTTGGGGAACAAGAACTCCAGGGCCTTCTGAGGCCTGTCATTCCATTCAGAACCCACAGAATGCCCAAGGGACAAAGGTCATCTAACCTCTTGGTTCTCAACCCTGTTTCTCAGAGTTGCCTGCTATTGCTGCAGGAGCACAAGGCGGCTGCAGAGGGTTCTAGTCTCTTCACCTCTCCCACCCAGGGCCAATCAGGAGGGTTCCCAACTTATTTTGTAAACTAGTATGCCCATAAACATGTCACTTAAAAAGGGGATTTTGCTGCTTAAAAACAACAACAAAGCAAGTTTGAAAACCAGGAATTTAATCCAACCTCATTATTTTCCCAACAAGGAGACAGA